AGCTGATCAACTGGCAGGGAAAGGTGCGACAAAAGTGCAGCCGGGTGTACCAGTCACATACCCCCAAAAGAAAAGAATCATTAGATCGATCAGAAAACCACCAGCCCCAGCACAAAACGACTGTTTTATTATGGACAGACCAGAACAAGTCCTTATTCTCCGCCTCAGAACAGGGCACAACCGATTACGTAACCACATGTACACAAAATTCAAGATAAGTGTATCAGCCATGTGCACCTGTGGAAATGTGCCCCAGACAGCAAAGCATGTTCTCCAGGACTGCACCGAATTTGACACATTAAGGGAAACCTTTTGGCCAGAAAGAACAACAGTGGAACGTAAGCTCTATGGACCACTGAATGAACTAACAACGACAGTGAAATTTATACAAGAGACAAAACTGCTTATATAAACAACTTTTTTCAGGTGAACGAAAGAAGAAGAAGAAGAATTAATGCCCTCAGAGAAATGGGAAGGATAGAGGACTTTGGTGGCAGTGAATCCACATCACTCGCCAGAATGGCAGACTTGGGAATTAAGATCGGCATAGCAAAAAACGAGACGCACACCGGATACGCCAGAAGACTTGTTAATCAACATAAAACTGGTACTATTAGCCATCGGACGTTGGGGTTCATACTGAGGGGAGGATCTAAGCACCTATGGGCATGTCCGGACTGCAATGATGATAACCCAACTAACTTTAATTATAAGTACCTATTTATGAAATTTGTGATAGAGTTGGACAGTCTTTAGATATGTCCCGCGAGTGTATATTATAGGGTACGACAAAGAAACTTTGTTGGTGTTGTTAGTAATATCAGACACAACGCCAAACTAATCTAGCTAGTGCGTTTAATCTTCAGCATGTGGACCGAAATAAACAGTACATGAAAAATTATGGGAGAGAAAAGAATGTTGTCACAGGAAGTCCTAAAGGGGCGGATCCGGAGAAAGTTAAAAAACATAAACACCAGCAGACGCGGCACAAACAAACCGACACATAGTTGCCCGGAGATTCCGACTAATTTATATAATTAATATAATTGTATTTTCAGAAACAAATACAGCTACGGAATGCAAGGTAAATCTAATGTTTGTATAAGCTTATTCTTCTTGTCTTTAAGTTGTATGAGTCTAAACTAATAATAGTCGCAAGTACTGTACACTCACCAATCTGTGATCCTGGCCAACGCTACACTTGACTGTTGGCACCTCTTTTCCCAGACGCTGATGTGTTATTTTATGTTATAACAAGGCATTAGGAATCACAGCCCGTGGCGATGGCGAATGTGACTAGCAAGACCCACTCACGTTGAGAAAAGTCTTCTACAGTTAGGGCATGACATATCAGTACCCCAGTTGCCTGTGTTTGTATTTATTTAACGTATATCTTCACATCTCTGTCAGACGCTTAACCCCCAACCTATCATCTGATGTCTGCAACTATTTACTATTGTAACCCCATTGCCTTCCTCATTCCCCACCCCCCTCCCCACCATGCAACACTGTATAGGGTACTATGTTCCCATGAATCCACCTCAATACCAACTGGTTTTTTGTGTGTCCCATTTGTACATACCTTCATATAATTATATTGTTGCGGAGAGGAAGACACCACCATCTTCTATTTCTACCAATCTGTATTTCATCATATAGGATGTTTTTAGAGACATTTCAAATCCTACATATGTCAACCAGTGGCAGAATGCTAAGATTTCTTGAAGCTTCCGCGATTTGTCACCTGCGCCCTGAACTCTGTATTCAGAAAAAGATGGTTCTTTCTTTACGGCTGCCCTGATAAAAACAGGCAGTCATGTTTGACCATTGTTGAAATTGTACTTCAGTTATAAAGGATTCACTTATTTGTTTCACTTATGTAATTGTTACTGTAGTATGCACCTGATGAGATACAGCGAAATATGCCAGGCAATAAATTTTGCAATCAATTGTTTGTGTCTTCTTTGTTCAAATTTACAACAGTCAAACATTGCTTTGATATAACGAAGAGACAAAAACTGTATATACCAAAGATTTCAATGGGAGTCGACCAGAAGACAGAAAAAGAAGATAATAGAAAAGTAATATACAGGCAGAGGCACAAACATGTGAAGTCACCAACTCGAAGAGAAGGCTACTCACAGAGATCAACAGAGGCAGGTGACATCTACAGCAGTGAACCTCTAGGGCTCAGAATGCTGAAGAAAAACAAGAAGGTTCTAACCAAACAAGGCTATAAGGTAATTCTACATACCAGGCAGCAACAAAATACAGTAATCAATTTTTGTATCCCTTATCTGTATTCAGCAAGTAACAGCCGATACAAGAAAATGGGATCTCATCCTACCTACAACATCAGGGATGCTAAAGTTGATGCAGAATTAGAACAGCATGTTCGGAAAGGTATGTGAAAGATAACCTTTATATAGTACGTCAAAATGTGTTCATTTTTGTCTAGATATACAGTGATGGTGGGAAATATTGAAACTGATGGTGGGAAATATTGAAACTGATGGTGGGAAGTATTGAAACTGATGGTGGGAAATATTGAAACTGATGGTGGGAAATATTGAAACTGATGGTGGGAAATATTGAAACTGATGGTGGGAAATATTGAAACTGATGGTGGGAAATATTGAAACTGATGGTGAGAAATATTGAAACTGATAATTTGACAAAGATTTGAATTTTGATGACTTGACTCGGAGATGTACAGGAGGTGCCTTTTGTCACCCCTGCTCAATTAAGTATCAGCATGGAAACCAAAAGGCAACTGATCAGATTCATACCATCTATTTGCTGCAGTCTCAGTCGTGGTCATTAACTAGGTTATAAAGAGTAAGATTACAGTGTGGAAGATGAAGTGTCTAATCAACGTTGTCAATATAACTAGAAGATACAGACTCAGAAATGGCAACATTAGCGATGTGATTGAAGCAGCACCAAGAGAATGCAACCCTCACAGCTGCCTCAACATTGTTTGCCTATAAGTGTTACAGCACATGAGGAAGACTAAACAGTAGATGGATCAACAACTGCAATGACACAGGCTCAGATTAGCCAGCACAATAGAACATTAACTGGCAAGATGTGAACCATCACAGGGAATAAAATAGTTCCACTGCTGAGTCAGTAGCAGATCAGGTAAACCAGACAGGACTGTGAGGTCAAGTCGGCCAATCAGCCTTATGTGTTCAAGTAATGATATCTCTTTCTCTGCCACCTGGGACTTCTATGGAAAGTTAGTATGAGAAGAAAGAAGTTAACATTTATGACAACAAGCCAGACAGTCTGTTGAGGCCTCATAGATGTGGAACTTATTACAAACATCAGAAAGAGACAGTCATCATTTTTGGTCATGCTATGAGAAGAAAGAACTGGAACAAGTTGTGACCACTGGAAATATCTATGGTAGACAGTATAAGAAGATTCTTGACAGTGTCTTGTCAAGGCAGGGAAGAATGTCAACACATGAACTGATACATGATGCTAGGGATCACAGGTTGTGGAGAGGCATGATCACCTATGCCAGTCTGCAAGGCACTTGATGATGACGATTATGACTTTCCCCAGAGCAGATTCAGATATCAGTTGTGTGATTTGCATGCATGAATGTTTGCAGAACAGATATCAGTTGTGTGATTTGCATGCATGAATGTTTGCAGGACAGATATCAGTTGTGTGATTTGCATGCATGAATGTTTGCAGAACAGATATCAGTTGTGTGATTTGCATGCATGAATGGTTGCAGGATTTCCTCTTTTTTCTTGTCCAGCTTTCAGTTAAGCTTCTGAAGTAAAAATCCATGCAGATCCAAAAACTTATCAAAATTAGTTAAGAAATTAAACCTGTGAACTGTGACTAAAAAGCTGAACGAAATGGGGAAGCCGAATGGCGTGCACAAAACATACAAGTCAACGTTTCGGGCGGGCTCTTCCTGGACATTAACTAACTTCACAACAGAAACAAAGGGGAGAATACTCCCACCACTAGCGCCTGCCCCGGGGGGCAGAAAAAATGAGAAACTATAAAAAAAATGATGTGGAATGAATAAAATAAAATAAAGAGAGGCTTCAGAAATATTCATAAAAGTAATAGTGATAATATATAATCATCATCGTCATCATCAGTTAGCAAGTCCTTTACAGAACGTTGCTCTCTCCACAGCACGCCTCAAATTATCCCTTTTTCTAGCCAGCTTTCCAGCCCCATGTGCATTCAGTGCCAATTCATCTTCAATGTCTTGTGTCCATATTCATGCCTGGCTTTTCACAAACTGCTCCCTCCAACACTTTATTTCCCAAGCCACCATGACGCTTGATGTGGCCAAAATAGTTCACTTTCGGGACAGGATGCTGTTTATGAGCCAGTTCTCCTGGATGTTTAGTTTGTGTAGAATGTCTATGTTTTTTTTTCCCCCTAGACTCATGGTATTCTCAGAAATTTTCTTGAACATTTTGATTTAAAAGCTCCAATCTTTTTCGTCAGAGATTGAACGAGAGTCCAGGTGTGACAACCATCACTTGATACAGGAAAAATGCAAGATCTCAAGATTTGTACTTTAACTAGTTTACAGGTGCTTTGCTATAGGTTCTTCATGCTGTTTAATCTCTGCATTGTCAATGCAAGTCTTTGAATTCTTTCGAGCAGTCGCCACTGTTGTTCATTAAAGAATCCAAGTATTTGAAATCTGTTACATTTTCTATTTCTTCATTTTTGATTGTGATATGTGGTTGGTGTGCTGTATTTATGAGGGCATGCTTTTTTTTTTTTTTTTTAAATTCAGAACAAGATTCACTTCTTTGCTGTGCTTTTGTATGGCCAGAATTAATTATCTAAACCTTGTACATGCTGGGAAGGAGAACTGTGTTGTCTGCATAACTGAGTGTCATTTATCACAGATAGTTCATTGTCATATGACGTTCCTTTTATAGACGTATCCTCTATTAGACTGTTTATGTCAGTTATCTTTTCTGTCATAGAATATTTCTATCTTACAGTTGCTGACAGATATTCTGAAACTGTGAATATAATTGCAAATGAGCCTTCTGTAGCACTGTACCGCATCCAAGAGCACATCAGGAGAACCCTGCCAAGGTTGATTGATCAAAAGGTATGTCTGCGCTCAAATTCTCTATTTTTGAATGATTAGAATACTCAAGTTCTGGCACAAAACCAAAGTTCAGAAGTGGATGAACAATCACAACTTTTCTCTGGACTTTACAGCTGGCAAACACTAAGATTAAAGGGAATAATTATAATCATTTCAACTTGCTATTGTCAGAAATATTATCACTCAACAGCCTACTGTTTGTAACGTCTGCACTAATAAACTAAGGGACATAGTTAATATTTTCCCATTATTTGAAGCCCTACTCTGGCTCTTGCCAGAGGCCGCAATATAACCTGGCCATAAATATGGCGTAATGGCTTTTGCGGTTTCTGGGACCTCTTCACAGAGATCCTCACCCACATGGTGGCACTTTGTGTCATCGGGTGTTTATCGCTTGTGTGATGTCTTGGTGGGGTAGAAAGTCAGTCAGTCATAATTATTTCTATTTGTTTTTCTTGTTGCTTATCTACTTTTGAACTTTGGTCTTTTTTTATAACTTGAGTTTTGCAAGCACATCCATTTTACAGATCTGGTTTATTTGCATACAGACTGTTGGTTTCTTGCCTCTCAGGCAGATACACTCCAAGTTTAAAGAAACATCCATAATTTTTATGGAAAATTTATTAGTGGGCAGTGGGTCTGTCCCCCCCACCCCCCCTCTTTCCTCCAAACCACCCTCCTAAATAGACCCTGGAGCCCTCACAGACAGAATCCAAAACCAAACCCACAGCCTTCAGACCATGAGGCAAATGGCTAAACCACTTGACCATGAAGACACAAAGTAGTTTATCTGAACATATTCAGTTTCTGAGACAACAAGAGTTGTGTGGCTGCTCTTATATCACCTGTATAAGTGATAATCAGGCAGTGATAGACAGTGCACCACTTAAGTAGCAACAAGATAGGATGAGAGAAAACAAAAAAGGAGTAATAGTAATGTGCTTTGTATATTTGCATTATTTTCTATTGTTATTATGCATTTGAGGCTGTGGACTTTTCTACTTTTTCTCCAGCATGAAGTTGAAGACATGAAGGTCAGAGTTCAAGGAGCTTGTTTTGATGCTGAGTACGCCAGCAAGTATGTCTTGTTTCCTTGGTCCATGGAATGGGTTGTCTTTCTGTGAAACATGTTTTTGTTATGTAGAATTGTTATTTATCCAAATAAGTTTTATCCAGCGCATTGCAGTTCTTATGAAGGTGAGGATCCTCCACGGTTGTTCGAAGGAGGTAGTAGATGATGGAGACAGCAATAGTAGCTTTGCCCTAATATTTAAACAGGCAGGACATTTAGAGATCCGGTGACAGGTTGTCTCATGAGGGTGAGAATAATCTGCTGCATGATGTAGATTAATGGCAGCATTTGCTAAGTAAAATGACGAATACCTGACATTAAATGGACAAAATGACGAATACCTGACATTAAATGGACAAAATGACAAATACCTGACATTAAATGGACAAAATGACAAATACCTGACATTTAATGGACAAAATGACAAATACCTGACATTAAATGGACAAAATGACAAACACCTGACATTAATGGACAAAATGACAAATACCTGACATTGATGGACAAAATGACAAATACCTGACATTAATGGACAAAATGACAAATACCTGACATTAATGGACAAAATGACAAATACCTGACATTAAATGGACAAAATGACAAATACCTGACATTAAATGGACAAAATGACAAATACCTGACATTAAATGGACAAAATGACAAATACCTGACATTAAATTTACAAAATGACAAATACCTGACATTAATGGACAAAATGACAAATACCTGACATGAATGGACAAAATGACAAATACCTGACATTAAATGGACAAAATCACAAACATTGAGATATTGGAAAGAGCATTTGTCACAGCAGTGCTCTCAGTGCTCATTCTTCAGAGCTCAGCTGGCTAGGACACGCTTGGTGGATGGAGGGTGTAGAGTCCCTAAGTAAATCCTCTATGTTACATTATAGACGCTAGGCACGGTCACTGTTTTGAGCTGTGGCAAATTGTTTGCTTCTTCCAGGCAGTGGCCGTTGCATTTCTGCTTTTGAAAAGAGTGCATGGCGTGACACTGTGAGCTACAGATTTCATTTGGAATGTTTTTATACTGTGAACAACATGGTGGTATGAATTTTAGATTCAGAAAATGTTGCGATGCCTGTTGTTAATATTGGTGGTGCCATTATGTAATTAAAATTTATCGCGTGTGCAGCTGCTGATCTGTTGGTGACTTCTGCTACCATCCATGATGAACTGCATTTCTAATGTGTTTGTGTTAGCACTTCGGATGGCTACCGTATGCTTTTAATTCATGTGTATGCTAGATATGCTGAGGCAGCAGTGTGTCAATCTTTCCACGAGGAACTGTGATAAACATTCTGTGTGTTTTTCATTGGCACAGGAGCAAAGCAACTATGGGGTGACCTGTTTGCCATAAAGCTGAAACTAAGATTACCAGATAATCAGATTGCATTATAGATGGGTAGAAGATGCTGTGGTCAGCCTCTGCTGCAAGCAGGACATGAATGATACTTGTATTGAGATGGTTTAATGGGAACAGGATGCCATGGACCATGCTGATGGGGCGAAAAACTAGCAAGAGAATAAGAATAAAGTAGAAAATGATTGCAAACGAATTCAATGCTGAACATCAGAGATGAAATATATTAAACATGTGCAACGACAACAATGGTCATAAAATCCTATGCTCTAACTGTAGAATACGTTTCCAGTATGGTCTTAAAAGATGGAAAGGAAAGGTGCCAGCTATGCTAAGCAAGGGCTGCATGCAGTTCTGAAGATGAAACATTTCTCATGTATAATAAGACAGCTTCAATTAAAGTCAGAAAGAAGATACTAAATCTCTTGTGCCGAATGACACTGAAGTTTGGAAAGTTCTAAACAAATTAGACAGGGCTTTTCTCTTGTGAGTTTTGCGCCCCATTTGGGGGTAAAATAGATGAGATCCACTGCCCACCTATTGGACATGTCATACAGGGCAACAAATGAAGTGTGTTTCCTTCAAAGTCAAAGAGTATCTTCTTGAGAGGTGCGGAACCAGCAGTTTGCACACAAATAAGTCAGATCTGTAACATGGATATGCATGTAAAACTCAACTCCTGAAACAACACCCAAGTCTAGAAGTGGAGGAACACACCAGAACTTTACGGCAGAGTTTGCAGCCAGTGATCGCTAAGAATTAGAAGAAGAGGAAGTGCTAAGAGGGAAGTTGTTTCTGGGATATGTGTTGTGAATAACTTGGAAAGCCAAAGTCACTAATAATGATTGACTCAGAAGGATTCATGAAAGTAGAACATTGCATTCAAATATCGAAAGCAGGTAGTGTGTGTTTGGTCATGTGATAAGAAAAGGGGCAAATGGAAATCAACGGTAAAAGAGTCAGTGGGTACAGGACTCTTTTCACATCAGTGTCACGGTGGGCATATGATGCTAGACTAAAATTTTTATAGAGTCATTGGGTGATGTGGTCAGTATCATGCCGGCCAGCTTCACTTCCCAGGACTTTGCCTCTTAGACATTTAAGGATGGGTCAGATTGGACGTCAGGGTCAGTTTTGAAGAAGAAGAAAAATCTGACTAGTTACAGATTTGACTTCCTGACCTTTAAACCAGAGACGAGCAGCTAGCGGCTACACTACTGCAACTCATAAAAAAGTCGGGCCAAAAAGAAATCTGCTCTAAAAAATATAATAGCATCATTCAAACTGATGGGGAACACCAGGATCTTACTTTTGTGAATAGAAACCACAACAAGCCACATCATTGTAGTGTTTGTTTGTTTGTTCACATTTCTCTGTCGCTCCAGATGAAAGTCTTATACTGTTCTATTGGGAGGCATGACCATGATAGCCATTGTAGTGTTTGTTTGTTTGTTCACATTTCTCTGTCGCTCCAGATGAAAGTCTTATACTGTTCTGTTGGGAGGCATGACCATGATAGCCATTGTAGTGTTTGTTTGTTTGTTCACATTTCTCTGTCGCTCCAGATGAAAGTCTTACACTGTTCTATTGGGAGGCATGACCATGATAGCCATTGTAGTGTTTGTTTGTTTGTTTGTTCACATTTCTCTTTCGCTCCAGATGAAAGTCTTATACTGTTCTATTGGGAGGCATGACCATGATAGCCATTGCAGTGTGTCTGGCAAGACCTGCCTCGTTAAGAAAAGTCTTTCTTAATCTTCCACAATTATATCATGGAATGTCTGCAACATTTTTGCCATCACATATTTATTGCTTCTGCTCAGATGCTGAGTTCTGAACTTTTTCGCAATCTTTTTTACCCTTGTTCCGACCCCCTTCCTGATTCTCCCCTCTCCCGCCCCCCCCCCTTTTTTTTTCATTCACACAGCACAATCCATGACATTTTGTGCCCACGAATCTACCCCAATACCTGTATCATTCATGTTCCACGTCTTTATATCATAGTAGAGGCTGACCTTAACATCTTCTACCCATCTGTTATTCACCATAGAGGATGTCCTGAGGGACTCTTCCATGCTCCATTCTCCAGCTGTGAACCAGCCACCTGAGCCTTCGTAGACTGAGGATTGAGAAAACTCTTGTAATACCTGCCTTTTCTAGTACCTCAGTGTTTTGCACTTAATGCCAAGTTTTCTTCAAAGGCATTGCTAGTGAAAGCCATTTACTAATTTTAATTTATCCTGGTGCGAATAAGTTGACCAAGTTTCACTGCCATAAAGAAGAGTGCTGAGAAGACAGGGCTAATAGACAAAAGTTTTTGTTTTAATCCTGAGCTATTTAAAAAAAATTTTTTATTTATTTAAGCTATCACAATGATGATGATGAAAAATGGTAATAAACGTGGGTGCATATTTTGTATTGATGCAGGTTAGATGACTAGTTATTTTTGCATGTTCACTCTAGAATAGTTTGTAATGTCCTCAATCAGTGAGTGGCTTGCAGGTCAGCACAGTCAAAATTGGGTGCCAGGTAAAGTTCTGGGAGGTAAAGGTAGCCTGCAAGATGTTGATCACATCACCCACCAAATACCCAATTTGAATGATGTCTCGCAGACCTGCACAGTTTGCCTTTCCATAAACTGAAGAAAGTAAAACACTACAGCAGTTATTTCAGTGTTCTCTGTTATCTTTTTTCATTTAGACATTTTTTAAAAATGTAACCTTATATTGCTGTTGACACTGTCAAGAATTGTCTGTGTGTTGTGTCTTTTTTGACAACCTCAAACTTCAAGACTTTACATTCTTTGCTGCTGCCAGAACAGTCAAGGCCATGAGCTCCAGCTCTGCACATTTTCAGAACATTCAGGAACTACTCAAAAATGCTGTGTTTGTCAAACAGCAAATCAACTATAAAGACAACAAAAGGTGGGAGAATCTTCACAGTTTAATCAATCTGTCTTTTAAACAATGCAGACACAAACAACACATTGCACAGTTTGTAGCTTCCCATATGTCACGTATCTCATCAGGTGTGTTGCTGCAGAGTTTACTCAACACGTATTGAAGCTAAAAAATGAATTATTTTAACTGGAATGCACAAATCACATTTTCAAGTCACACTGTGAAAATATCTGCCAGAAATTCAAAATTAGCCACTTGATTACAATGGTAATTTCATATTTATCACATGTTCTTTTCGTTTGCATAAATATTCCCCTATGCTGACTATCTTTATTTTTTTTTTTTATGCAGCATGTCCTTTGAGAACTATTTTGATGTAGCTTTTTTCTTGCTTACCTCTGGTCTTGTGTTCAGATCCTCATCAAGATGGATTTTAACAAAAAATCTGGGCTCCCACCTACCAACAGTTGGCACCAGGAAATGTTCTGGAAAATAAAAGTGGTCAGTGTGATGTTATGTTGACCACATCACCAGAGTGCAGAAACATCTACACATGACCACATCACCAGAGTGCAGAAACATCTATACATGACCCCATCACCAGAGTGCAGAAACATCTACACATGACCACATCACCAGAGTGGAGAAACATCTACACATGACCACATCACCAGAGTGCAGAAACATCTATACATGACCACATCACCAGAGTGCAGAAACATCTACACATGACTACATCACCAGAGTGCAGAAACATCTACACATGACCACATCACCAGAGTGCAGAAACATCTACACATGACTACATCACCAGAGTGCAGAAACATCTACACATGACCACATCACCAGAGTGCAGAAACATCTATACATGACCACATCACCAGAGTGCAGAAACATCTATACATGACTACATCACCAGAGTGCAGAAACATCTATACATGACTACATCACCAGAGTGCAGAAACATCTATACATGACTACATCACCAGAGTGCAGAAACATCTACACATGACCACATCACCAGAGTGCAGAAACATCTATACATGACTACATCACCAGAGTGCAGAAACATCTACACATGACCACATCACCAGAGTGCAGAAACATCTATACATGACTACATCACCAGAGTGCAGAAACATCTATACATGACCACATCACCAGAGTGGAGAAACATCTACACATGACCACATCACCAGAGTGCAGAAACATCTACACATGACCACATCACCAGAGTGCAGAAACATCTATACATGACCACATCACCAGAGTGCAGAAACATCTATACATGACTACATCACCAGAGTGCAGAAACATCTATACATGACCACATCACCAGAGTGGAGAAACATCTACACATGACCACATCACCAGAGTGCAGAAACATCTATACATGACTACATCACCAGAGTGCAGAAACATCTACACATGACCACATCACCAGAGTGCAGAAACATCTATACATGACTACATCACCAGAGTGCAGAAACATCTATACATGACCACATCACCAGAGTGGAGAAACATCTACACATGACCACATCACCAGAGTGCAGAAACATCTACACATGACCACATCACCAGAGTGCAGAAACATCTATACATTACCACATCACCAGAGTGCAGAAACATCTATACATGACCACATCACCAGAGTGCAGAAACATCTATACATGACCACATCACCAGAGTGCAGAAACATCTACACATGACCACATCACCAGAGTGCAGAAACATCTACACATGACCACATCACCAGAGTGCAGAAACATCTATACCACATCACCAGAGTGACATACATCACCACATCACCAGAGTGCAGAAACATCTACACATGACCACATCACCAGAGTGCAGAAAACATCTATACATGACCCCATCACCAGAGTGCAGAAACATCTACACATGACCACATCACCAGAGTGCAGAAACATCTACACATGACCACATCACCAGAGTGTAGAAAACATCTATACATGACCACATCACCAGAGTGCAGAAACATCTACACATTACCACATCACCAGGAGTGGAGAAAACATCTATACATGACCACATCACCAGAGTGCTATACATGACCACATCACCAGAGTGGAGAAACATCTATACATGACCACATCACCAGAGTGGAGAAACATCTATACATGACCACATCACCAGAGTGCAGAAACATCTATACATGACCACATCACCAGAGTGCAGAAACATCTATAACATCACCAGAGTGCAGAAACATCTATACATGACCACATCACCAGAGTGCAGAAACATCTACACATGACCACATCACCAGAGTGCAGAAACATCTATACATGACCACATCACCAGAGTGGAGAAACATCTATACATGACCACATCACCAGAGTGCAGAAACATCTATACATGACCACATCACCAGAGTGCAGAAACATCTACACATGACCACATCACCAGAGTGCAGAAAGATCTACACTTGACCACATCACCAGAGTGCAGAAACATCTATACATGACCACATCACCAGACTGCAGAAACATCTACACATGAACACATCACCAGAGTGCAGAAACATCTATACATTACCACATCACCAGAATGCAGAAACATCTACACTTGACCACATCACCAGAGTGGAGAAACATCTACACATTACCAAATCACCAGAGTGCAGAAACATCTACACATGACCACATCACCAGAGTGGAGAAACATCTACACATTACCACATTACCAGAGTGCAGAAACATCTACACATTACCACATCACCAGAGTGGAGAAACATCTGCACATGACCACATCACCAGAGTGCAGAAACATCTACACATTACCACATCACCAGAGTGGAGAAACATCTACACTTGACCACATCACCAGAGTGGAGAAACATCTACACATGACCACATCACCAGAGTGGAGAAACATCTACACATGACCACATCACCAGAGTGCAGAAACATCTACACTTGACCACATCACCAGAGTGGAGAAACATCTACACATTACCACATCACCAGAGTGGAGAAACATCTACACATGACCACATCACCAGAGTGCAGAAACACCTATACATGACCACATCACCAGAGTGCAGAAACATCTATACATGACCACATCACCAGAGTGCAGAAACATCTATACAGTTATAAGGCTCACACCATATGCTTTAATTTGAGTCCTAGTGGGTTTAACATCACATGTCCAATCTGTAGCAAAGAGAGACATAAAATTGGCTCATCATTTGTTAACTGGGCTTTTAGGTAGGAACCTATGAACGCATGATGCATTGCTTGGGACTCAAAGAGTTGAGGCAAAGAGATGTTCTTGTACCGACTTCCTTTTATCATATTTATTTAATGATATTTCCTTTGCACATTCCTTTTTTTTGTGCATGGCAAAATGCCTTGACATTCTATTTTCATTTGTCTGTGTAATTTCCACACTTTCAAATTTTCTCCCCAAATTTAAAGAAAGCTGAAATAAACCAGTCATCTGCTTACTTCAACTTTATACAAATCAAATTAGGACAAATTAAGCTTTTTTTTAAACTCCAGTGTTACAGAAAACAAGCAAAGTAAGTTATATAAGTTGTTTTTGTGTCTTTTTTAAAAATTTTTAATTACTTTAATATTAACTGAAATCAACCAAATCAGTCCACTTTTCTTACATACTTTTTACGGTTTGTTTATTTAATTTCAACATTACAGAAAGTAATCTTAGTTGATGCAAAAGAATAGTTTTGGTTGAATTACTCATATTTTTGCTGATTGTAACAGTCAGTTTGTTTGACTCCACTGTGACAGGAAGCAGGCGAGGATAGCTGCTGGCATCAGTGACCCTGATGCAGTGACCGGTGCAGGAAAGGAGAGTTCCACTGAGAGTACTCTTGAAGATAGTGGTCAGCGGATGGACAGCAGCATGGATGCCAGTGGTTGCCTACAAAATGAGTAAGTCTGTCTGTAGGGACAAGGGAAGCAACTTGGCAGTACAATGTGAACTGACAGGGGGGAGGGGATGAAGTGAAGAGAAGGGATGATTTTCTGTCTGAGAATGTCATGTCATAATGAATGTGGAATTTATAGTAGCCCACCTAAATTCTGTGGTTAGATTCATGTATTCTGTATCATGCCATAGTGAGATGGGGTGGTCTCTTCTTTTCCTTGCCACCTTTATATCCCAGAGAATTTCAAAATCATTCTACAGTTATCCAGACTTTATTTTTGTATGATGCTGTGTGAATCCTTGTGCTACTACTGGAATCTGAACTCTGACCACTGACTGAGATTGCTAGCTTGCAAACCACTATGATTTCTAAGACTGCTAGCATAAATACATTTGGAACTTCACATGTATGGGTAGAAAGCATTCAGAAATCGCACTTAACCTCCCTCACTTGATTCTGCACACCTAGTCATGTCGGCATAGAAAGTAATGAGAGAGTGGACCTTTTGGCCAGCAAGGGCCAACACTTGCAGGATGAAGGAATCTTCTCACGCTGTCTTTCTCTGTCTATCCTCCCGCTGTCTCTTTCTGGTGGTCACAGCATCTTCTAGTTTCCCTCTTCTCATAACATGACCAAAATATGACAACTGTCTTTTTTTGGTGGTCACAGCATCTTCTAGTTTCCCTCTTCTCATAACATGACCAAAATATGACAACTGTCTCTTTTTGGTGGTCACAGCATCTTCTAGTTTCCCTCTTCTCATAACATGATGAAAATATGATAACTCTCTTTCTGGTGGTCACAGCATCTTCTAGTTTCCCTCTTCTCATAACATGACCAAAATATGACAACTGTCTCTTTTTGGTGGTCACAGCATCTTCTAGTTTCCCTCTTCTCATAACATGACCAAAATATGACAACTGTCTCTTTTTGGTGGTCACAGCATCTTCTAGTTTCCCTCTTCTCATAACATGACCAAAATATGACAACTGTCTCTTTTTGGTGGTCACAGCATCTTCTAGTTTCCCTCTTCTCATAACATGACCAAAATATGATAACTCTCTTTCTTGTGGTCACAGCATCTTCTAGTTTCCCTCGTTTCATAACATGACCAAAATATGACAACTGTCTCTTTCTGGTGGTCACAGCATCTTCTAGTTTCCCTCTTCTCATAACATGACCAAAATATGACAACTGTCTCTTTTTGGTGGTCACAGCATCTTCTAGTTTCCCTCTTCTCATAACGTGACCAAAATATGATAACTCTCTTTCTGGTGGTCACAGCATCTTCTAGTTTCCCTCTTATCATAAAGTGACCAAAATATGATAACTGTCTCTTTCTGGTGGTCACAGCATCTTCTAGTTTCCCTCTTATCATAAAGTGACCAAAATATGATAACTGTCTCTTTCTGGTGGTCACAGCATCTTCTAGTTTCCCTCTTCTCATAACATGACCAAAATATGACAACTGTCTCTTTCTGGTGTTCACAGCATCTTCTAGTTTCCCTCTTCTCATAACGTGACTAAAATATGATAACTCTCTTTCTGGTGGTCACAGCATCTTCTAGTTTCCCTCTTATCATAAAGTGACCAAAATATGATAACTGTCTCTTTTTGGTGGTCACAGCATCTTCTAGTTTCCCTCTTCTCATAACATGACCAAAATATGACAACTGTCTCTTTTTGGTGGTCACAGCATCTTCTAGTTTCCCTCTTCTCATAACATGACCAAAATATGACAACTGTCTCTTTTTGGTGGTCACAGCATCTTCTAGTTTCCCTCTTCTCATAACGTGACCAAAATATGATAACTCTCTTTCTGGTGGTCACAGCATCTTCTAGTTTCCCTCTTATCATAAAGTGACCAAAATATGATAACTGTCTCTTTCTGGTGGTCACAGCATCTTCTAGTTTCCCTCTTCTCATAACATGACCCAAAATATGACAACTGTCTCTTTTGGTGGTCACAGCATCTTCTAGTTTCCCTCTTCTCATAACGTGACCAAAATATGATAACTCTCTTTCTGGTGGTCACAGCATCTTCTAGTTTCCCTCTTATCATAAAGTGACCAAAATATGATAACTGTCTCTTTTGGTGGTCACAGCATCTTCTAGTTTCCCTCTTCTCATAACATGACCAAAATATGACAACTGTCTCTTTCTGGTGGTCACAGCATCTTCTAGTTTCCCTCTTCTCATAACGTGACCAAAATATGATAACTCTCTTTCTGGTGGTCACAGCATCTTCTAGTTTCCCTCTTATCATAAAGTGACCAAAATATGATAACTGTCTCTTTTTGGTGGTCACAGCATCTTCTAGTTTCCCTCTTCTCATAACATGACCAAAATATGATAACTGTCTCTTTTTGGTGGTCACAGCATCTTCCAGTTTCCCTCTTCTCATAAAGTGACCAAAATATGATAACTGTCTCTTTTTGGTGGTCACAGCATCTTCCAGTTTCCCTCTTCTCATAAAGTGACCAAAATATGATAACTGTCTCTTTTTGGTGGTCACAGCATCTTCCAGTTTCCATCTTCTCATAAAGTGACCAAAATATGATAACTGTCTCTTTCAGGTGGTCACAGCATCTTCTAGTTTTCCTCTTCTCATAAAGTGACCAAAATATGATAACTGTCTCTTTCTGGTGGTCACAGCATCTTCCAGTTTCCCTCTTCTCATAAAGTGACCAAAATATGATAACTGTCTCTTTCTGGTGGTCACAGCATCTTCTAGTTTCCCTCTTCTCATAAAGTGACCAAAATATAACTGTCTCTTTCTGGTGGTCACAGCGTCTTCCAGTTTTTCTCTTTTCTTAATGTGACCAAAATATAACTGTCTCTTTTTGGTGGTCACTGCATCTTCCAGTTTTTGTCTTTTCATAAAGTGACCAAAACATGATAACGGTCTCTTTCTGGTGGTCACTGTCTCTTTTTCTGGTGGTCACAGCATCTTCTAGTTTCCCTCTTCTCATAACAGTGACCAAAATATGATAACTGTCTCTTTCTGGTGGTCACAGCATCTTCTAGTTTCCCTCTTCTCATAACATGACCAAAATATGACAACTGTCTCTTTTTGGTGGTCACAGCATCTTCTAGTTTCCCTCTTCTCATAACATGACCAAAATATGACAACTGTCTCTTTTGGGTGGTCAAAGCATCTTCTAGTTTCCCTCTTCTCATAACATGATAAAATATGATAACTCTCTTTCTGGTGGTCACAGCATCTTCTAGTTTCCCTCTTCTCATAACATGACCAAAATATGACAACTGTCTCTTTCTGGTGGTCACAGCATCTTCTAGTTTCCCTCTTCTCATAACATGACCAAAATATGACAACTGTCTCTTTTTGGTGGTCACAGCATCTTCTAGTTTCCCTCTTCTCATAACATGACCAAAATATGACAACTGTCTTTTTTGTGGTCACAGCATCTTCTAGTTTCCCTCTTCTCATAACATGACCAAAATATGATAACTGTCTCTTTCTGGTGGTCACAGCATCTTCTAGTTTCCCTCTTCTCATAACATGACCAAAATATGACAACTGTCTCTTTCTGGTGGTCACAGCATCTTCTAGTTTCCCTCTTCTCATAACATGACCAAAATATGACAACTGTCTCTTTCTGGTGGTCACAGCATCTTCTAGTTTCCCTCTCTTTCTCATAACAGCATCTGACCAAAATATGATAACTGTCTCTTTTTGGTGGTCACAGCATCTTCTAGTTTCCCTCTTCTCATAACATGACCAAAATATGACAACTGTCTCTTTTTGGTGGTCACAGCATCTTCTAATTTCCCTCTTCTCATAACATGACCAAAATATGACAACTGTCTCTTTTTGGTGGTCACAGCATCTTCTAGTTTCCCTCTTCTCATAACGTGACCAAAATATGACAACTGTCTCTTTTTGGTGGTCACAGCATCTTCTAGTTTCCCTCTTCTCATAACATGATGAAAATATGATAACTCTCTTTCTGGTGGTCACAGCATCTTCTAGTTTCCATCTTCTCATAACATGACCAAAATATGATAACTGTCTCTTTCTGGTGGTCACAGCATCTTCCAGTTTCCCTCTTATCATAAGGTGACCAAAATATGATAACTGTCTCTTTCTGGTGGTCACAGCATCTTCTAGTTTCCCTCTTCTCATAACATGACCAAAATATGACAACTGTCTCTTTTTGGTGGTCACAGCATCTTCTAGTTTCCCTCTTCTCATAACATGATGAAAATATGATAACTCTCTTTCTGGTGGTCACAGCATCTTCTAGTTTCCATCTTCTCATAACATGACCAAAATATGATAACTGTCTCTTTCTGGTGGTCACAGCATCTTCTAGTTTCCCTCTTCTCATAACACGACCAAAATATGACAACTGTCTCTTTCTGGTGGTCACAGCATCTTCTAGTTTCCCTCTTCTCATAACATGACCAAAATATGACAACTGTCTCTTTTTGGTGGTCACAGCATCTTCTAGTTTCCCTCTTCTCATAACATGACCAAAATATGATAACTCTCTTTCTTGTGGTCACAGCATCTTCTAGTTTCCCTCGTTTCATAACATGACCAAAATATGACAACTGTCTCTTTCTGGTGGTCACAGCATCTTCTAGTTTCCCTCTTCTCATAACATGACCAAAATATGACAACTGTCTCTTTTTGGTGGTCACAGCATCTTCTAGTTTCCCTCTTCTCATAACGTGACCAAAATATGATAACTCTCTTTCTGGTGGTCACAGCATCTTCTAGTTTCCCTCTTATCATAAAGTGACCAAAATATAACTGTCTCTTTTTGGTGGTCACTGCATCTTCCAGTTTTTGTCTTTTCATAAAGTGACCAAAACATGATAACTGTCTCTTTCTGGTGGTCACAGCATCTTCTAGTTTCCCTCTTCTCATAAAGTGACCAAAATATGATAACTGTCTCTTTCTGGTGGTCACAGCATCTTCCAGTTTCCCTCTTATCATAAGGTGACCAAAATATGATAACTGTCTCTTTCTGGTGG